GAAACAAAGAAAAGAGTATTGAAATGTTATGTGATATCTGTCCTCCTCCATGGCTGCGAATGGTAGACAATCTCCTCAAAGACGAAGAAGGCATTTGAGGCAACAAATCTAATCTGAATCTAAGTGACTTTTTTGTTTCCATTCCTTTCCTCGTTTCATTGTCCATGATAATCTCAGTATCCGTCAGTAGATCCACATCGCTGTTGCTTCAAATCTTCTCTTCATCTTTTAGAAGATTATCCTGCAGTCATTGCAATAGAGGATGCTTGATATTATATAGCAGTTGAGCAATGTTTTACTTATGTCTTTTTTCTCCTGTTTCTTAATACATTGTTTAATTTTTGGAAAGCATTTTTCTTATTCCAGTTCGAATTCAAATTTCAGTGTCACTTTTTCCGTCGTATGTTAAAATCACTTCACAGATTATTTTGTACTCGTTTTATTCGGACATCTTCAATTTGTAGCTCACATTTTGGCTTGTCTCACTGACAACCAGACATTCTATCTTTTTTTATAATTGATGGTGAGTCAGACAGAAAACAGAGCCTTAAATTTCCAGATAATAACGCAATTTTATACACACGTACAGCTGCTCTACAGTCAGATATAATAAAATAAAAATATAATATATGCAGACGACACAATCTTGATAGCAGGCACGGAAAGGAATCTGCAAAAGTTCCTACAGTAGGTAGCGAAGGAAAGCAACAAGAAAGGACTAAGTATAAACTACAAGAAGACTGAATGCATGGTTATTAGTAAAAGGTTGATCCCGAAATGTAAATTACAAATCGAAGATACTAAAATCAAACAAATACCTTGGAAGTGTTCTAAAAGATATTGGCAAGTGCAACACTGGAATACGAAGACGCATTAGGATAACCAAAGATGCATTCTAAAAAGTAAGCAAAGTATTAAGAAACAGAAAAAACAAAGAAAGAAAATATTGAACAGTTACGTGATATCTGTCTTTCGATATGGCAGTGACTGAAACATGAAGAAACAGAAATGTGGTTCTACAGAAAGATTCTCAAGCTATCATGGACCGAAGATGTGAGCAACAACGAGGTTTTGAAGAAAATTGAAAGAAAATATATACACTTTAACTTAACATCAGGAAGAGGCAGTTGAAATTTCTGGGACACGTATTGAGGAAGGAGGCTTGGAAAATCTGATACTCACATGTGAGATTGAAGGAAAGAGTGAGAAGAGGGAGAAACAGCATTAATATACTTGATGAACTTGAGTAAATATATGATAGAGCAAGATTTGGAAGAAATAGCAAAAAGACAACATTTATTAAGAACTACAAGTAAAAGAAAGAAGGGCCATCATCGCCAACGTCCTGAAGGGATACAGCAAATAAAAGAAGACCAGAACTTGTCTGGTTTTGATAGATGTGGCACAAGGCCAAAATTATGGGGCACCCATTGAGGATCGAACTCACTGCTCAGTCGTAATGGTTCTAGCGAGACAAGCTTACTAACCATTGCACCGCCTCAGGGTGCCCAAAATGATTTTCTAAGCGTAGCTTAGATGTGGCACAAGGCCAAAATTATGGGGCACCCAGTGAGGATCGAACTCACAGCTCAGTCGTAATTGTTCTAGCGAGACAAGCTTACTAACCATTACACAGCCTCGAGGTGCCCTAGTGATTTTCCAAGCATAGCTTAGATGTGGCACAAGGCCGAAATTGTAGGGGCACCCAGTGAGAATCGAACTCACTATCAAGTCGTAATTTTTCTAACGGTATAAGATGGTTAACCATTACACCACGTCGAGGTGCCCCTTGTCTGGTTCTGATCACTTCAATCCGTAGTTCGCATCCTATGCTTTTTTATCACTTCTTGACAACCATACATTTTGTTTTCCTACATTTGGTGGTTAGTCGATTCTTCTCGAGGGCAATTTTTTTTCTTTTTCTTGTCCGTTTGCAAGAGTGAAGAATACACATGAATTCTGTGATGTATTTACTTTTTTTCTTTCTAAAACCTTTCTGATTTTTTTTTTTTTTTTTTTACCTATAAATACTTCGATACAGCTTCAAGCAAGATACGACAAACACATGCTTCAAATGCGATATTCGAAAATCTTATGTAAATCAAAATATAAAAGTATGTGCTCTTATTTTAGAAAACGGCCGTCACACACGCAAACACAGAACAACACACACTCCACTTCCCAAGGATTTGGTAAAATTTACAAAATCGTTGTCAACATAAAAAAAAAATGTTGATTTTGTTTCATATATCGATACAGATATGATTACTATTGATAGTCATTGTTTCTTTATTCGAAAACAGTGTAAGGGAGCCTGCCTTTATTTCCGTCGCTTTTTGCTTTTGCTTTTTGATATTTCGAAACCAAATCGTCACTGTTGCTTAAAGGTTTCTTTGAAGTATTTAGTATTAAAGAGTGCCATGGAAGAGTTTATAGCTTTAAATTTAATGATGATGTCCGAAAACTGTACGAATTTGTCAACTTCTCTTTGTAATTAAATAGAACTTTTGGAAAGATCTTCTTTTCAACTACACTTCTCAACAATTCCTCTTTCATTCGCGTCACACCTCTCATTCATCAGTATAATTATAACAGCAGCCCTTTTAACAGGCATTGTTTATGGAATATCTTCAAATGAGCCACACCATCATTGGAGAGTAATATGTCAACATGTTGAGGCCTGTTATCGATGATTTTTAATATTAAAATATTCACTCTTGCTCTCCCTTTTTCTCTCTGACTCTAACATCTTGCTTTATTAAACCCAAGAAATATATTAATTATTCCATCTGACATAGTTTATTAAATTCGACCGACAAGGAATATCCGTTCGATTTCATCTTATATATATTAGGTTGGTGCAAAAATAATGACGTAATAATGCCGTTTTTGGACGTATTTTTTAACGTCAAAAAACGACATCATTAACCTAATATATATATATATTAAGAAATGGACAATGTCCGACAATTTATTTATTAAAGACATTTTTTATGTTTAACGTTCTTTTTATAGATACAAATATTTAAGTAAACGCTCTGTTTATAATAAACAGTATTAAATAACATTTACCGGCTTGAATGTCAGAGAAATTTTCATAGAAAATATTCCTCCTTTGACAGGATTCGAACCTGCATCCTATACGGAGCCTTAACCGACTCGGCCACAAAGGAGCGCACGGTAGGCAAGGTCGAATTTACTGCTTATAAACTTCAATCTTCCATGAATCTCGTACATTCATAACTGCTCTGGCGTATCAAATGTAAACAAATGACGTCATATATTAAGAAATGGACAAGGTCCGACAATTTATTTATTAAAGACATTTACTTAAATACTTGTATCTATAAAAAGAACGTTAAACATAAAAAATGTCTTTAATATATATATATATATATATATATATATATATATATATATATAAAAAGAACAGTGTACCTGTGTTTGTACGTGTGTGTGTGTGTGTGTGTGTCCAAGCAACTCCTTCGCTCCCACTGGTGCGATTTCAATGTTTCACAGCTCATTCAAAAGCCCTAGAAAAGTTAGGCACAGGAGACGATTTTCGTTGAGCTCAGATTCAGGGTTGCCAGATTATGAGAGGTTAAAAATATATATTAATATATTATACTAGCCATTATCGTTGCTTTAATAGTCCAAAGGGAGTAACTTGTATATTTGTTTTGTATCCAAAATTGCAGTGCACGTTTTATTATAAACTATCTTAAAAGCCGCTATATCGGGCGAGATTTATACTAACTCCTGTGGAGGACCATTGGTTTGGACATCATCATAATAGCAAGGGAGAAGTAGATGCGATACTTATGGATAAACTACAGAAGAACTCAAAATAGATCGCTGCATTTAAGCATTGAATTAATGTTTAAGCTTACCTTTTAAAAGTCTGACGATAATTCTTCTGCTGCCACTTAATTTAATGACGATTTGATGTACGTATATCGTTATTTTCCGAGATGTGACACAAGATCTTTTTTAGGTGGGGATCCAGGCGCGTACACCCTAGACAAGTACAAAAATTGCCCTCAGCCCTCGCAACTGTAGGTTGCGCTGGCCTCGGTGCGAGCACCGATCCCTCCTTCTGGTGCAATGGGAGGGCGCGGCCTCGGGCAGCTGTTCCCCAGGGCTGGCCACCTCTTCAGTATAATTTTCCTCAGTTGCCCCTCTGTTCTTTGACAGAGAAGCCCCTGAGCGCACTCTGCCTAAAGACAGAGACGCAACTGAGAGATGATAAGTCTGCGTTAAAATCCCTCCCAGGAGGGATTTTTACGGTGTTTACTCATTTCCCACGAGAACTACATGTGACACAAGGTCGGATTAATGTGGGGACCCGGGCGCGTGCATCTCTTGAATTCAGTTCTCGGTTTCATCAGTGACAACAGTTGAATCGACGATCCCCACTTCCGCCTGCAGTAGTCGCATGTCAATCCTGCATATGGCGTGAAAATGAATGCAAAGGAACATACTACAGTGTATCATTTTCGAAACGAAGACTAATGTTAATTACAAGTGATTTTCTGAACATAAAATAAATTCCAATATTTAAAAAAAAAATTACTCATTCATTTTCAATTCTGTTTATACACTATTATTTTTTTCTTGTATACTCACATCATTATCAATTCAACGCAGTAGTTCAGACATGAATCTTGAATTGGCTTTCAATTCAGTATGTCGGTAAATCCCATATGGCTTCGTGAGAAATCAGCGGCTATATGCAAAATAAAGAAAAAAGAAAAATTGTATACAACAGCTTGATGGATAAATTGGCTACATATTGTTGTAGGCGCAGACAGAAAATAACCATAGCTTATGCAGCAAGCAAAAAAAGGTGTACATAGACAAGAGGTGGAGTCAAGACATAATCGACGAAGTGAGATCAAATCAGTTTATTTTCATTTCACAAAGAATGTTCTTATGGAAGTTTTGAATCTACTTCTCCCTGTGGCCTAACCAACTGCTGGATATCTTAACAAACGTGAGGCTTACGGTGAAACCAGGTTGAAACACCTGTTACCTTACGATCACCGAAGTTAAACAACGTCGAGCCTGGTCAGTACCTAGATGGGTAACCGCTTTGTAATGCCAGGTTCTGTAAAACTTGGATGTGTAATCGATAATGGCTCAGAGTTGTTAATCGGAGAACCGGATTCAAAATGTAGTCGGGTTACTTATATTCACTTTGGCGCAAATACCAGCTATGGGTTAATTAGTAAGACTAGGATCACTAATTCTTATTTACTAAAAAAAGTTATCACATTCTAAAAGAAATATTTTATTGCTTTAATTAACCTGCAAGTGTTCATGAGCCGTAGAGAAATGAATGAGTGAAACAACCGCCATGTACAAAGCGTGGTATAATGTAAGAAAATCTTGTGCAAGCCATTCACACGTAAATAGATTACACGCCCAGAATCGACTTCAAGTAATTGCTGATTACTAAACATAGTTTAGTGCTCTTTTGTCCTGAGTATGACGATAAACTCCATCCGGCAGCAAGGTCACTGATCGAGAGATTGGAGGTTTGAAAACCGTGGAAATATATATATATATAATTAATTAATTAATTTTATATATTTATATATTTCTGATAAAAATTGATATATAAATATATATATAAATAAATAAATATATATATATATATATATAATTAATTTGAAACCATATATATATATATATATATATATATATATATATATATATATAATAATTAATTAAATACCATATCACTCTCTGTTAAATTACAACAACTTACACTACCCATCAATTTTAATTTCATTTTCGTTTCATTTCATTTTTTGGAAGTGCTATCTGATGATCCGGCGTCCTTTAAAAGGGCTCTGGTGAAATAAATTATTATAATGGTACTTTAAATTGGTCTGTTTTTCTTTTAAATATTAGCTCTGGATTTACATTGAGCTCTCATGATTTCATCCTCCTTGGGATTACCCATACGGTTTACCAAGTTCTTCATAACTTATATATATATATATATATATATATATATATATATATATATATATATATATATATAAATCTACATGTGGTGTAATGGTTAGTGGCCGAGAACCAGAAATTGGCATGCCGTGTTCCACTTCAAGTCGCGTTCGTTAGATTCATGCAAATACCCATGATAAAGGTACGAATCCCTCTCTTCTCCCAACCGCCATCTTTGTTTTAAATAGCAGTGAAGGCTGGACAATATATATTCAGTATGCGGAAAAATGAAAATAACATTGACATCTCATTTTAACAGATATGTTTACCAAACTTACACAAAAATATCTTTGAATACAAAAGAGTATATTTATTCAATAAAATCGCCATTGGCTTCAATCATGGCCTCCAGACGACTTCGGAATCTCCTACAACTCTTCTGGACGGTCTCCTTCTTTAAGTTGGTGAAAGCTGCCATAATCTTTGCCTTCAGTTCATCTTTGGTGTTACGAGAATTTTTGTTGGTCGCTTGCTGAACTGTGCCTCACCCAAAATAATCAAGTTGGCTGAAGTTTGGAAAGTTAGGTGGCAAGATGTAAAATCTTCTGGTCGAAGAAATTGTCTGACAACCAAGACTTAGTTCTCCAGCTTGTATGGAATGGTGCCGAGATATAAAGTTTTCCAGCAGCAATCACGTTGATACAGGGTAGTACTACCTTCTCAAAGCACTTTGATGTAAGCCTTCGCGTTGCTTCTTAGGCCTACGGGAGGATGAATGGAGGCATAACGTCGCCATCGCTAGTGATCACTCCGAACACAATAATGTTGACGAGATATGTCATCCAACTCTTTCCGTCTGCATTGACCTCAGGTTGACACCCACACACTCTAAAATGTCCGTACTGGTGCTTCCGGTGCGAATGCCAAGCAGTAGAGCATACCTTTTCCAAATTTCTGGCAGAGTGAATTACGTCATAGTGCTCTTTCTCCACCGGAAACTACTTTACAGTGCAGTCAATAAAATCCAAAACAAACAACACGCATGCACGAAATTAAAAGATATAATTTGGCGGCGACGATTTATGCATAGCACCCTGTAATTACTATATATATATAAATATGTGTGTGTGTGTGTGTGTGTGTGTGTGTGTGTGTGTGTGTGTGTGTGTGTTCATTACCATTCGCTCGGCCAGAGGTAAAAATCACATCTACTCACGATATAAATAGGCTGCTATTGATAAACGTAACACTGCTCAGTTAACTCACTACTACACATGTTAAACGTTAATGACATACTCGACACAGATGTACACGAATGACAAATGTAACCTTGTCCACATACCAACACAGCGATATCTAGCGTAAAATTTCTTTAAACTTAATAATTAAAAACGAAGGATTTGCGGACATATCGTTATATGAACTGTTGTCCTTGTTTGTTTTGAGTAACCAATCCCTAAGTTTGTATTTTTGATATATATATATATATATATACAAATGCGTATGTATAGACATAACACCACCCGTATACATACATGTGTCATAGCCTAAACTGTCTACATATGTTTATATATATGTATGAGTCCCGACGGACGACCAAGTATGTATATGTGTCTGCATACATCGATGTTTGCGTTAGTACGATGAAGAACAAAACGACGAAATTTCCCCCACCACTTCCACAATAACACCAATACACGCAATCTACATAAACCCAAATTTTTTAAAACATTAATCAGTTTGTCTGACGATCGCTAAAGCGTGAAACCCAGAGTCACAAACTCACATCTATCCAACCAAATATATATATATATATATATATATATATATATATATATATATATATATATTATAGATAAAGACTATTTCAAACTGGTCCCTTTAACCGTTAAGGGACGGTTTGAAATAGTTGAGGTACCTATGCTCTGTTAAAATAAAAACATCGAGCTCTCCGTGGATCAGTTTTATACCAACGGATCGATTTCCTGTACTATATATATATATATATATATATATATATATATATATTATATATATATATATATATATATTATCCGGTCTGAATGTCCGAGACATGCTAATATATCTACATTATTCATGGATATGTACAATGGTAGAAGCAATCATATATTTTCATAATATATAAATAATGTAGACATATTAGCATGTCACTCTCTTTTCTCTTTATATATCATACTTATTATAAAACCCAGGTTGTGTGTGTGTGTGTGTGTACGTTTATATATTGGATCGGATTTCCTACATTTTTCAACCGATTTCAACAAAACTTCACAGGACTACGTAAAATTACCTTGCGGTGGTTCTGACAGAACCAAAAATTGGAAAAACACAATTTTTTTTGCACAAAATTAATTTGAAAACACAATTAAGAGGCATCGCGAGAATGAAAGGGGACAACTCATATCGAGTTATACTTATAAAACCCAGGTTGTTTGTGTGTGTCTGTGTTCGTTTATATATGGGATCGGATTTCCTACATTTTTCAACCGATTTCAACAAAACTTCACTTTTGTTTTGGCAGGTAGTGTTTCTTATTGTCTTGTACACTTTTTTCTTTATTTTTAACATTCAGAATGCTTTAAAAATTTCATTTACAACACATTTGTTTATAATAAAATTCTATTCAATCGTTAGACTCATAACGATTGAAAACAATGCTTTTGTTTGAGTTTGGGTTTGACCAAGTCGTAAAAAAAAAAAAAACCTAATTAAGACATGTGTTTCCGTCAACCATAAACAATAATCTTTGTCAATTTTATTTTTCAGTCTTTATGATGGTCGATACTTGATCTATCTCTTACTGTTACATCCCCGGGCAACGCCTGGCTCTACTACTACTATATATATATATATATATATATATATATATATATATATATATATATATATATATATGTATATGAGAGTTTAGCTTTAAGGTACGCTATGTTTTTTTAGGAATCATATCATTGATAGAGCGGATATAAATATAATGATATTAAAATTAAAAAAAAATACTAAATGTAAATATTTAGCAAATAATAAATTAACAAACTACGAATGCACACATAAACTCCAGTACATCTAATAATAATAAAAACAAAAACAAATACATGATTGACGAATGCATAATACACTGGATATTCAATAATAAATAAAATAGTTAACAGTCAAAAACATTATTATGTAATAGCTACAAATTACCGCATTCTTATTCACAATTAATTCAACTTACTTTTAGAATCATTTTAAATACAATCACCTACCCACTTAACCGTTAGGATGATAAAAGAAACCGGAAATACATGACTGGCTCTATATGACCCACTGACAAGCATATATAAACAGTCAAGACAACTCACAATACACATGGCCTGAAGATTGTTCTCAAACGTGAAACTGTACATCACATCTCGGTGACCACCGCAGCGTTCACGCTTTATATATATATATATATATATATATATATATATATATATATATATCATTATTTATTCGAAAATTATACCATAAATATGTTTTAAAATCACTTCAAAAAATAGCCATTTTGTTTCAACACTTCTGGCATCTTATCAACTGATGGTGTTGAATGTCAATGGATATATATATATATATATATATATATATATATATATATATATATATATGCAAGTTTCGTTAAAAGCGAATGGCAAGGTACCGTGGTTAAACAAGTTTTTTTCTTTTAATGCAATAGTGTTATTTTTCTTTTTCTGGCAACTAAAAAGGAAAGTAATACTATACACTCCAGAAAAAATATTTTAAACGCTATACCTTTTTCAGTCTTTTTTTAACGAAACTTGTATAAAAAACCGGATTGTTGTTTATATATATATATATATATATATATATATATATATATATATATATATATATATATATATATATATATATACGTGTATATTATCATTTCACATCAAATAAGGTGATAGTCGCTAAGATGCAATGCACTAGGCGTGAAAAAACTGAGAAGACGTTAGTGGGGAGAAAGGTGAACAAAACGAACAGGTTTCGAGGATGCAAAAAATGGCTATTGACGTTGCATATAAATTTCCGAATTACCCTTGTTTAACACTTACAGAGCCACTAGTTATCACAACAACCAAACTTGTGCTTAATCTAGTCTCAAAACCTCACATATC